TATCCTAGAGAAACTATGGGATATGAGTTCTACCATCCTGACGACCAGAAAGTCTTTGTCGCCAGAACTGCTAAGTTTCTAGAAGACGAATTTGTTCTCAAATGAACTATAAGCAAACAGATGGAAATTAATGAGATTAATAATGAACCACAAACAAGCACTCGACAAGTTGACAACCCCATTCCTGAACCCCTAGCTCCACGTAGATCTGAACGGGTTAGTAAGCCACCTAAGAGGTATGGCTTAGACAATGACTTTGCGGAATTGCACCTTCTAGGTGACAATGACACAAAGGAGGACCCTAGGGACTACACTGAAGCAATGTCCGACATTGATTCGAAGAGATGGCAAGAGGCCATGAAATCCGAGATGGATTCCATGTATCAAAATCAGGTATGGACTCTTGTAGACCCTCCAGAAGGTATAGTACCTGTTGGAAACAAATGGGTCTTCAAGAGGAAGATAGGCGTTGATGGGAACGTGGAAACTTATAAGGCTAGACTCGTAGCCAAGGGTTACAGGCAACGAGAAGGGATTGATTATGAAGAAACCTTCTCTCCTGTAGCCATGATTAAGTCCATTCGGATTTTGCTTGCTATAGCTGCGTACCATGATTATGAGATATGGCAAATGGACGTGAAGACGGCCTTTCTGAACGGCTACCTAGAGGAAGAGCTCTATATGACTCAACCCGAAGGTTTCATGTCCAAGTCTGAAAAGACTAAGGTATGCAAGCTTCAAATGTCCATTTATGGACTTAAGCAAGCCTCCAGGAGCTGGAACATTCGTTTCGACACTGAAATCAAAACGTTTGGTTTTACTCAAAACGAAGACGACAATTGTGTTTATCAAAAGGTCGTTGGGGAAGCAGTAGTATTCCTAGTGTTATATGTAGATAACATATTACTATTCGGGATGACACTGCAATACTTTCTTCTGTAAAATTGTGGTTGTCCAAAACCTTACACATGAAAGATTTAGGAGATGCATCTTATGTACTTGGGATAAAGCTCTATCGTGATAGATCCAGAAAATTAATTGGATTATCCCAATCTATGTACATTGATAAGGTGCTAAGTAGGTTCCAGATGGAACAATCTAAGAAAGGTTTTCTTCCTGTGAGACATGGAATTCACCTTTCTAAGTCCATGGAACCTAAGACTCCTGAAGAGATACGGCAAATGAATATGATTCCTTATGCTTCCGCCATAGAGAGTCTCATGTATGCCATGATATGCACAAGGCCTGATATCGCATATGTTGTGAGCATTACTAGTCGATATCAATCTAACCCAGGACCAGAACATTGGGCAGCTGTCAAGACGGTCCTTAAGTACTTAAGAAGAACTGAGGACATGTTCCTCGTATATGGAGGAGCAGCAGAGTTGTGAGTGGAAGCCTATACAGACGCAGATTTCCAATCTGACGTCGATGATAGAAGTTCCAACTTCGGATATGTATTCACTCTGAATGGTGGGGCTGTCAGTTGGAAGAGCAAGAAACAGAGTGTAATTGCTGATTCCACAACAGAGGCTGAATATGTCGCTGCAGCTGAAGCCCGCAAAGAAGCGTTCTGGATGAAGAAGTTCATCACTGAACTTGGGGTGGTTCTAACCATTACATCACCAGTAACTTTGTACTGTGATAATAGTGGGGCGATAGCTTAAGCCAAGGAACCCAGGGCACATCAAAAGAACAAGCATTTTGACAGGCGCTTTAATATCATTAGAAGATATGCTGCCGAGGGGAAAGTCAACATCCTCAAAGTTGCTTCAGCCGATAACGTAGCAGATCCACTGACAAAGCCAATGTCTCAAATCCAGCTTGACCGTCATATGGAAAAGATGGGTATTAGATACATGGGAGGATGGCTTTGAGTGCAAGTGGGAGATTGTTGGAAGTATGCCTACAAAGCCACTCATTTGATGTAATAGCTTTTTGGAATACTTAATGTATTAAACTTTTATATGTTTAATGAAGGGCAAAGCTTATTGTTGATCACTATTTATTGTATCATGTGTTTAAGTAATAAGGGAATCCAAGGGATGTATTTGATCTAAGAGACAAGTGATCTAAGTGAGTTAGATTATCGAGACCATTCTCTTATATTCATTCCTAAAACGTTCCTAGCCATAGGATTGCCAATTGGGTATTGACAATCTGCTAAGGTTAGTATGTGTTATGTCGACTCAAGCTTGAGTATGACTAGTCTCAAGTCATTTGGTGTTGGACACTAAGACAAACACATAGGTGCTCGAAAGAGTAATCGAGTACACTGAACAACGATCGAAAGAGAGTTCAAACATACATGTCATGTAAGAACTCGAAAGTTGCAATATGCAAAGTAGTCCTTTGACCTGAGACATCATAGATGTCTAATGGTTAGGTCCTTGATCTTTGATCATGTCAACAGCATTCCATCGGAGTGTCCACGGCATTGTTGGGGTCAAGCTATCTAGTCATGTAGGCATATGAATGCACAACAAGGGATCTCTAACCTTCCATGGTGGAAGGAGAATACTCTAAGATATGATTCATAAGTCTTTGGCCAAAGCAAATGAATATGACTTAGGAAGTTTGTTCCAATTCATATTCAAAGGAATCATATAGAAAAGTATCACATTGGATAGTAGACATGAAACAAACTATCACTTAAACAATGTGATTAAGAGTATTGTATTAGAGAATGACCGTATTGCATTATAGTTGTAACTGGATAGGTTCTCCAACCAATTCTACTTAGCTTGGGTAACCATAACATACTGCTAGGTGTCACTCATGGTTTGTGGAAGCGCTAATGACTAGCAAACACTAATCATAAAGGGAGAATTGAAATGTGGTTTCAATTCACAATCGATCGTTAAGAGTAACAATCGCCCACTACCTCGCTAATTGGAACCTAATGGATCGTACACCGAGTAAGGGCGATAGTGAAGAAATTAAATGAAATGGATATGCAATTAAATGGTTTAATTGAAGAATGGTCAAGATTAATTAATTAGTTAATTAATTATACGAAAGGTTCGTATTGGGCTTTTAAGTTGGTTTTGGGTTTCGGGGCCCAAAAGTGTTTTGGTCCATAAGGCTCATTATGTTTAAGTTGTATGACAACTAAAACAAAATAGGCAATAAGCCCAATCACAACATATAGGCCGGCCATGGTGAGGAGATGGTGAAAGTTTGCTTAATTGCAAGTTTGCCACTCACCAAAGAAAAGTGTTATAAAAGCAACTTTATAGCTATTTTCTCATAAAAGGGTTTTCTTTGAGGCAAAGAGGTGAAACTTTTTCTCTCTTTCTCTCTACAAAGAGGCCGGCCACTTAGGGAGATTAATCTAGCAATCTCTTCTTCCCTAAGTCATCCATTTCATCTTCACACTTAACCCTTGGTGTGGAGACTAAGAGACACCAAACTTTTGGTGTTTTGGAGATCCTTTCCTTACATCCACAAAGTCCAAAGGAGCACAAAAGGAGAAGGAAATCACAAGAAATATCCAAGGAGCTAGGAGGTGACTTGAAGGCCCTCCACTTGGGTGAATCCCTTGTGTAAACAAGGATGAGCTTCAAGGGTAAAGAAACTCTAAATCTTTACTTCTCTTTAATGTTGTTAAAGAGTCTTTTGGTTCACCATATACTAGGCTCTGAAAGTCATGGGTTTTATGAATTGTTTTTGAATGCATGCCTACTTTAAAGTGTTAATAGTTTGCATATGTATTCAAATGTTCTTACATGTTCTTAGCTAGGACAAAATTTTTCCTTCACCCACGTCTTATTTCGCAAACACAAATGCTCTTTCAAACATGCAACAACACCAGAAAATTAAAAATCAACTTCAATTTCAACTTTCATTCCCGTTTCAAAAAGATAAATTTGCAGACGCAACCAATCCGCATAAGAAATAGAGATTTTCTCAAAGCAAAACCTTAAAATAGAGGTACTAATCTCATTTCCTTGTTATTTCTTACTTTTAAATTATGTTTCCATGCTTGTGATCCATAAACTGAGCAATGCTTCATTAAGAAAACTACAAAATGATGGATTTTGTTTTTACTACATTATGATCACTATTAGTTTTTTCAGATCAAGAAATAGCTCAAGTCTTGAAATAGTGTACTTTGCACTACTCTTTAAAAAAAAAAAAAATAAATAAATAAAAAAACTGGTTTGTTAATTGTGTGTTTTCTTCCCTTACAGAAATAGTGTGAGTTATTTTGTTTTAGTTTCATAAATAGTGTGTAATTTTGTGGTAGTTCTAGAAATAGTGTGCATTATTTTGGTTCAATTTCGCAAATAGTGTGGGTTATATTACTATATTTCTTGAAATAATGTTTATTTTGTTCCCTTCTAAAAATAGTGTGGGTTATTTTGGTTCAGTTTAAAAACTAATGTAGGTTATTTTGCTATAGTTCCAAAAATAATGTGAGTTATTTTGCCGTTATTTCAGAAATAGTGTTTATTTTGTTATATTCCATAAATAGTGTGAGTTATCATTTTTCAAAAGCAATGTGGGTAATTTTGTTGTAGTTCCAGTAATAGTGTGGGTTATTTTGGTTTAGTTTTAGAAATAATTTTTTTTTTTTTTTTTTTTTTTTTTGCTGTAATAGACACTATTTATGAAATTGGGCCCATAAGTGGACACTATTTATGAAACGAAACTAAGAATTAAACACTATTTATAAAACTAAACCAATAGGTGAAAACTATTTATGAAGTTCGACTATACACTATTTATGAAACTGGACTAATAACTAGACACTATTTATGAAACGACAAGAACTAGGTACTATTAATGAAAGTGGACCAAGAAAGAGATTATTTATGAAACAATACCAATTACTATACACTATTTATCAAACAGAACCCAATAACTAGGCACTATTTATGAAAAATGGCCAATAAGTAGACACTATTTATGAAATTGGATCCATATGTAGACACTTGTTATGAAACAAAACCAAGAATTAGGCACTATTTCTAAAACTAAACCAATGAGACTTTTAACTAACTGTACTTAGTGGGAAGGGCCTGAAGAATCATGAACACAAGCTGCATCTCACCGATGTTTACATCCATGGAATTCAATTTCTCAGCAGTATCTGTCATCTTTATTGTATGATCCCTTATGGAGCCAATGCCCTCAATTTTGTATGTAGTCAGCAAGGACATGTATTGACTTACTTCTGTTTTCTCAAACTCCTTAAACTTCTTTTCAATTGCTGTCAAGTAATCCACAGCTAGCTGTAGTTTCTTCATTCCTCCTCTGATAGTATCAGTCATCCCACTTTCCAAGATGGAAAGTGCCACTTTACTAGCCCTTGTCCATCTTTCATGATCTGATTTCTCAACCCTAGTGCTTTGATCAATGACAATAGGCTTGGGATTATCAATTGCTATATCAAACTCATTAAGAGTCCACATCAAATTGATATCTCTTCTCCATTTTTTGTAGTTGCTTCCACCAGTGAGGATTGGAATGTTTGCCAAGCTTAAGATCTTCATTGATATTGTAGACGCTGATAAAAAAAGGTCGTACCCAGTGCACAAGGCTCCCGCTTTATGCAGGGTCTGGGAGAGGTGAATGTCGGCTAGCCTTACCCCCATTTATGGAGAGGCTGCTCCCAAGTCTCGAACCCGAGACCTACCGCTCATGGACGAAGGCACTTGTCATCGCACCAAGTGCGACCTCTTATTGTAGACACTGATGAACATAGAAATCACAATATGGACTTTAGAGTCCTGATTTCATTCCTCAATCTATTGCACATCAAGACATCACAACTATTATCCATATATATAATCTCAACACAATTTAGTTGATAAGCACATGCAGGATGAACGGTTTTATTGAAAACTTCAGGCAAGCATAGCATTTAATCCTAGAATAATTCATCTCATTCACAATAAGGTATTCACCTCATACGAAATAGTCAAAAGTTAAATATAAACATCAATTGAGGAACTAAATCACTTATTCAATGAAAATTAAAACTGAATATCCTTTACAGGTAATCAATTCATATGCCCACTGATGAATTAGTTTGAATCAACATTAACGATAGGTTTAGTTATATAATTCTAATCAAACTTTAAAGCGAAATTAAACTCGGATTTCATGTTAATTATCTGGGTTTCAGAATACATACCTTGATGAATGAAAAATCAAACATCGCGCAGCGGAAGGAAAAAGCAGATATATTCAGTACCCAGACCGACAAGGCACAAAATCGCAAAGAAGAGAGAACAAAGATATGATGTTCAATTTCCTTAATCCCAGAACAACTGAAACAAGATGCAGGCTTTCGAGTTCTAATGGTCAAAAAATTTTGAATGACTTTTTTGAATTTTTTTTATTCAAACGCACCGTTTTGTGTAATCCCATATTTATTTCTTCTAACTAGAACCCGTCTCGAAACCTGACAATTGAAGGGTTTTTTTTTTTTTTTTTTTTTATTCAATAGATTTTGTTAATTGAATTTAAGAACTTAAACTATGGCTTTTATACCACATGTAAACTTTAACACCACATGATCTATCAAGTTACTAAAATCACAGCCAAATAAATCACAAAAGCTTAAGCCTATGAAAACATTGTAGAGCACTGACCTGATGAATTCGCACCAGAGGAAGCCATGAATGCAGGAAACAAAGCTTGTAGCTAGTGATCTTTTCATCTCTATCTGATCGCCTTGTGCTCAAAACTAGGAATAGGACTTAGTGCCAATACAAGCGTTAATATGTGAGAGCAGAGATCACTGTCACATCTCAGAAAAGAACTTCTCATTGGGTCACCAATCCTAGGATTGCTCTCGCTGAACTCGCTTAACTTCGGAGTTCCAATGGAATTCGAAGTCAGTGAGTTCCCAAAAGGCCTTATGCTATAGGGAGGGGAGCATGTACAAATAAGGCACATCACCCCATCTCCGTTGGTCGATGTGGGATCTTACATCACCATATATATATATATATATATATATATATATATATATATATATTCCTTTTCATATCATAATAAGATTTCCTATTAGAATCCACATAGAAAACTACTTGTATTTTCTATCTCATATTAGTTCTAACATAAGACTGAATCCTCCATCAAATGGAATCAATCTACCAATTCTTGTAAGGTTTTCTTATGCCAATTGGACTCAATCCACTAACTTGAAATATCTTACCTCATGTTCATAATCTTACAAGATCCGAGCGAGTCAGAGTAAGATATTGGAGGCAACCCACTAATTCATAGTAAGTGGTAGGAGTGGATAAAGTTCACCATCAAAAGCGAATAAAGGGACTTTGGCAGCTAGTGGAGTGGTTGTTGGCTAGCAGTCAAGCATACTATGACAATGGAGGAGATCATACACATATTTGAACTGAAATAAGTGAAGGCTGTTATTAAGAAAGTGAACTTGAGCCCCAAGAAATAGCTAAGAGGGCCAAGGTCCTTAATGTCAAAAATAGAGCAAATAACACTAATAAATCATGAGGAATAAATGAAACACTTCCGGTTACAACAATGTCATCCACATAGAGAAGAAGAAACATAGTTTGAGAACCATGATGAAAAATAAATAGAGAAGAATACGCTTGACTTTGCTAAAAACCTGTAAAGACCCTTGTGAAGTTTGCAAACATAGTGTGGTCGAGAAGGATCGATGAAGCCAGGGGGCTGTTTCATATAAATGTTCTTTGAAGAAGCCATGTAGAAAAACATTCTTAACATGTAATTGACGGATGGACCAACCACGAGAGACCCCTAGAATGTGAAATGTGCGAATCATAGTGGGGTTGACGGCTGGGTTGAACGTATCATCATAATCAAAACCCAGTTGTTGGTGAAACCCCTTAGTGACTAGCTGAGCTTTGTACTGCTAGATGCTCCCATCAGATTTTCATTTTATGCAAAATCCCCATTTACAACCCCCAAGATTTTGAGAAAGAGCCGGCAAAACCAAGGTCCATGTGGAATTTTTTAGGAGAGCATGGATTGTCCTCAGACATAGCATTCCACCATTCAACATGTTTATGAGCCTGGTTAAAACAAGTCGGTTCCAAAATATTAGCAGCAAAAACTAAAGCACGAAGAAGGCAATATCTTGTGGTGTCATCAATGCAGAACTTGGTTTGGAAATGCATCGTGAAGGAAGGTGCGCATAAGGTAACATGTAGGCTCTGAACACGGAGAAATATAAGGTTGTGTATCATCAATCATAGCAGCTTCAAGTAGAACAAGAACAACATCACAAGGAAAAGAAGAATACCTGGACAATGGATGAAATGATGTCGTAAGGGGTGCAGCAAGGATTGGCTACCGTAAGGACATAGGTACATGACATGAAGCTATGGCTAAAGTTGCATACTGTAGACTGCGGCTAGAGCAGAGGGGGCTAGATTGTAGGCCTAGGGCCTGAAGTGCTAGCAAAGAAGCAATAAAAGGAGAAGTAAGTTGAATGTCTAGTTCAATGAAATAAAAAGGAGATGAAACCTGCAAAGAAAAAAAGAAATTATATTTTTTTTTTTAAAAAACATGCCTAAAGTTGTAGACACGACCAATAATGGGATCCAAGCAACAATACCTTTGTGGTTGACACTATAACCTAAAAAGACACATTCCGAGGATTGACTCATTCATTTGTGTTTGACATAGGGACCAAGGTGTGGAAACAAAGACACCTAAAGATGCGGAGGTGAGGCATTGTCACTTATTTGAAACTGCTCACACTTTTTTGGCAGTTTCTAAAGTACTACACATATATTAGGTTGAGGCATTCAACACAACAATTTATCTTATTAACAGATTGCCCACCGCATCCAGACAATATCCATGAGAATCTCTGTATCATCGAGCACCAAACTATGAATTTTTAAAGGTTTTTGGTTGTGCCTATATCCCATGGCTCAAGCCCTATACTTCTTCGAAGTTGGATCTTAAAAGTAAGGCATGTGCATTTCTCAGCTACAACCTTAATCATAAGGGCTACAAGTGTCTTGATCCTGCAACCAACATGGCGTACATTTCAAGACACGTTCTTTTCAATGAATCCAGCTTTCCATTCCACCATACGTCAAACTCCACAACTTGATCTCTAACCTTCCATACTCGGTCTGGATCCACTATACCATTCAATTTTACTTTGACATTTCCTTTTTCTCTTACACTTGTTAATACCACCTCCCCAATTATGTCCTCCTCCATTCTAGCTATCATTTCCCATGTTCATTCCATTACTACCACCTTAAGTCTTCCAGTGGCAGTTCAGATCCTATTCCCACCAACCCTATTCAACCCACTAACACTCATCCGATGCAAACAAGGTCCAAATCTGGCATCTTCAAACCTAAAGCTCTCATTGCCACTAAACACCCCCTACCATCCCATTTCTTAGTGGACTACATACCCAATACCTACCTTTAAGCCTCAAAGTACCCTCATTGGCGCCAAGCAATGCAAGATGAAGTCAATGCTCTTATAAACACTGGAACATGGTCTCTTGTTCCTAAGTTTTCATAACAGAATATTATACGTTGCAAATAGGTCTTTTGAATCAAGAGAAAGCCCGATGGCACTATACACAGGTACAAAGTCCAGCTAGTTGCCAAGGGGTTCAATAAACAGGAAGGTTTAAATAACACTGAAACTTTTAGTCCTGTAGCTAGACCATTTACCATTAGACTTCTCCTCACTCTTGCAGCTCAATTTAATTGGTTTTTGAACCAACTTGATGTTAGCAATGCCTTTTTACATGGGACACTCAATGAATCAGTTTTCATGCAACAACCCCTTGGATTTGAAGATTCAACTAAGCTATCTCATGTCTGTCACTTGCATAGATCCTTATATGGTTTAAAACAAGCTCCGAGAGCTTGGTATGAGAAGCTTCATGGTATTCTTCACTCTTTTGGCTTTGTTGGATCTCCAAGTGATCATTCCTTGTTTATCAAAAAGGTTCCAGATATGATTTTCATTCTTGTCTATGTTGATGATATTTTGGTCATCGATCCCAATTCTACAGCATGTCGACAAGTAATTCAGCAACTCAGCTCCATGTTCCCAATCAAGGACCTTGAACCTCTCCACTACTTTCTTGGTCTTGAAGTTAAAAGATCATCCTTGGTATCTTCCTATCCCATACCAAATACATCTTGGATCTTTTATCCAAAGCCAACATGACTGGAGCTAAATCTTGTAGTTCCCCACTCAGCACCTCCAAACTTAATCATAACTCTCCCTTATGTGAAAATGCTTCTGAGTATCATTCATTAGTTAGTGTTCTCCAATATCTAACCTGGACACGGCCATATCTTAGTTTTGAAGTTAATCTTGTCTGCCAATACATGCAAAATCTTAGAATTTCACACTTTCAAGCAGTTAAGCGAATCCTCAGGTACCTTAAAGGTTTCCTTGATCTTGGTATGTGGTTCTCTAATTGTTCAACCACTCCCACCATCACAGCATTCTTAGATGCTGATTGGGCTAGGCATGCCCTTGACAAAACATCAAC